GACGGAATAGGAGGGACTGTAAAAAGACACGCGTATCAAACCAGTTTGCAGCGAATTAATGGGAGTAGAATCACAACTGCCAAAGACCTTTTCCTATGGGCGCGAAATTTCTTTAAAAATATTCATTTCGATTTTTGCTCTGTCGAGGAGCACAAAATCCACGAAGAAAATCTCCAAAATCGATTCCAAAACGTTTTGACGATTAAAAATACACGCCAGTTCCATCACTTTAAACCTATAAATGCAACAACCATCGAATGCAAACAATTTTCAGGAGATAACAAATCGGTAATTAATAGTTTGTTCAAAGCAAAAAAAAATTAAGAATCCATTGTAAACTGTAAGCGAAAAAAGTGAATAAATAAATCAATTGATACATGTTATTACCATACATAGAAGTGTGTAAAATTTTTTTCTCCAAAGTACTAATATGCAGGCTGGCGCCGTTGAACGTGCTTGGCTCTCGCGCGGCGTTGCTTGCGCGCAGTATGCAGCGCTCGACAAAAAGTCAAATTATAAAAAAGCTTTTCATTTGCACTAAGATTTCTTTTCAGTTCTTGTTTACCTACATTTTAAAGAACATTTAGCAAAAAAAAATTTTTTTAAATCGCGTGTAGAAAGCACTTAAAATTGCATTTGTTTATAAAAAAATTATTGAAAAATAAAAAAAAATTAATTTTTTAAAATTTTTATTTTGTAACTCGAAAGTACATTTACTCACTGATATGACCATAAATTTTTGTTCAATTTGTGCAAAAACTCAAATAGTTAAAATTATTTTATTAAAAGGGTTCAAAAATCTTTAATTAACAATAAAAAATATAAATAATTTAAATATTTTTAAAATACTTGGTAAAAATATTACCAGATACTAGTACTTTCAAATACAAATACTTATTTCAAATTTTGCAACTTTGCGAAAATAGGGGGGCCACTTCAGGAATTTTTACTCATATAAACTTTAGTTTGGTTTCATATACCTTGAAACAAAAGTCGTTCAATTTCTTAGTAAATAAATTTCCTGACAAGGTGATCATATTTCGGAAGCAACCTTAAGTAATGGTTGTAACTAAAGACAAATTATAGAGTAATGGGAGATTATTGAAGTACAATGAACTTTCTCATATATATGATAAGGTCAAGGATGTTATTATTTTTTTTTCGTTTTTGTCTTCGACAACTTAAACAAATTGTCGTTGCCTCTTCTAATTTTGATGTCCTATTGTCTTTGGAATTCTCAAACAGATGTTTGAACTGTTCTTCTAATTCTCTCATTATCGTTTCTCTAGTTCTTCCACTTCAAGACCCTCTCGTCTTTCCTTTTGTTCTTCAATCACAGCCCCTTTAATTCCACCGATCTAAACGTGTCGATTGTTAATCACTTTGAGGTTGTCTATAACAGGTACTTTAGCAGTTGAGAGATACCTGTACCTTGTATTTTTTTTTATCAAAATTTCAAAATATTTCGTCTTCTATTGTAATTTTTAGAATTTGACTATTATTTTTAGCTCACAGAGTTTTTCTGAGGGTATCAAATTGAGACAAAAAAACGTATCAAAACGTTATGCTTCGCAACTATTTTGATACGTTTTTTATCTCATTTTGATATCCATAGAAAAATTGTGAGGAGATTTTAAATTTAATCAGGAAAGTGAGGAATTTTTATTAAAAGTACTGGAAAGAATTAAATTTTTAGAATTCATAAGAAAATTCTGAATTTTTGTGTCTTTTTTGTTTGCCTTATAAACTATAAAATTACAACGAATTCTAATACGAAAACTTCAATTTGTTTTATTTCTGACAATAATTTCTTTTCAAATAACTTAATTCTTAAAGAACTATATCATTAAATTATTACTTAGAAATTATTTAATGAATAAATTTACTTAAATATTTCAAAATTTATTGAATGTTAAAAGAGTTGCGTTTACAATATTTTTGTAAATAGATGAACTTCTAAAAATAATTATTTATTAAAAATAATGGAATTATAGAAGAATTTTAGTTAAAAGCATTAAAAAAAAATTGAACTTTGGAGAAATTATAAATTATTGCAGAAATTCAATTATTTTCAAAAGTCATAAAATTCTTCGCAGAAATTTAATTATGTTAACAAATTTTTAAAAATTCTCATCAAAATTCCAATTATCTTTATAAATAATAAAATTCTTCTCCGAAATTCAATTATTTTCAAAAATTTTCCAAAAGAATTCAATTATTTAAAAAAAATGTCAATAAAATTCTACGTATACGTTTAATTATTTTCGTAAATAATAAAAATTCCACAGAAATTCAATTATTTACAAATTTTTTATAAATTTCTTCGCAATAATTCAATTATTTTCATAAATTTCAATTATTTTCATAAATAATCAAATTTTTTACACAGATTGAATTATTTTCATAAGTAATAAAAATTTTTCTCAGGAATTCAATTATGTTCGAAAATTTTTTTAAATTCTCTTCAAAATTTCAATTATTTTTATAAATAATAAAATTTTTCTCTGAAATTTAATTATTTTCAAAAGTTTTCCTCAATTCAATGCGATTTTTCAATATCTACTATTTTAATAAAATTTTCCAAATTTGGAATATAATTTAAATATAATTTTAGTAAATTTTTACGCAAATATTTAATTATTTTCATAAATAATAAAAATTTCACAGGAATTCAATTATTTACAAATTTTTTAAACATTTCTTCGCAATAATTCAATTATTTTCCTGAATAGTAAAATTCCAAAAGGGATTCAATTATTTTCATAAATAATAAAACTCATTGCAAAAAATGTATAATGATTCTTAAAAATTCTTAAAAATTCGTCAATAGAATTCAATTATTTTCGAAAATTTTGATATAATTCTACGCGAACATTCAATTATTATTTTCATAAACAATAAAATTCATCGCAGAATTTCAATCATTTTTAATACAATTTTAATCAAATTCCTCAAAAAATGTAATTTTTAAAAATTTTATTAAAATTCGTCGAAAGAATTTAATTATTTAAAAATTCGTTCATAAAATTCTTAATGAGAATCCAATTTTAAGAAACATTCAATTATTCAATAAATTATTTACTTTTGTATTTAAATAATTGCTTTCTCATAGAATTTTATAATAAAAATTGATTTAAAAATGAATTTTAGGTAAACTTTTAGATAATTATTGAATATCAAAAGCATATATATATATAGATATCATAACTTGAATTTCAAGAAATTATTGAATTTTGAAAAGGTTTTAAATTAAAATCTTTGAAAATCTGAATATTTCATGCTTTTAAGGGCATTTGAACCTTGATGACGTTACAGTTTGTGCAAAGCATGTGTGACGTCATCAAGGTTCAAATGCCCTTAACTTTAATTTATTATCAATTCTGTAGAATTATTTTTTTTCAAAAGTTTCATTGAACTTTATTTTTTTCGAAATTATATTTGAAGTTTTTATTTTCTGTTATAATGCAATTGAAAAATTTCCAAATAAGCGAAATTTAGTAAAAGTGAATTATAAACAAATAGATTTGAAAATTGTCAAAAAGAACTTTTTCAGAAATTATTAAAAATAATTAATTTAAAGAAGAATTTTAGTTACGAAAATTCTAGAAAATAATAATTGAATTGAAATGATGAAAATAATTTTGAGGATGTTACAGTAACAATATTTTTTATAATATAAAATAATAATTTTATCACTCTGTCATCTTTGATTATTAATTAAAAAACATGAAGATATCGATCACTCCGAGTCGAAGACTTGGAGCAATCGATATCTTCATGTTTTATAATAAATATTCTTATAACTTATTAAATTTCAAAAAAGTTTGAATTTGAAAATCTTAATTCTCATATGGAAAAATAATAATGTTTAGTTTTCTTGAAAGTATCAAATTGTTACTAAAGTGTACCAATTTGAAACCAAATTTTGGATCAACTGGAAAATTGATTAAAATTTTTGTTTCAAATTGATACACATTTAGTACGAAGTTGAAGTCAACAACGTTGATCAACGAAAAAAATTTATTTAATGCATTCAAGTATTATTTTTAATATAAATATTTAATTGTAAAATAATTATTATCTAAATATAAACATCAACCTTTTCTTTCTAAATAGTTTTGTGTCAATATTGCTGCTTTATTTTTAATTAATTTGCTTAGTGAACCATTTTTTTTTCGTTGATCAACGTTGTGGACTTCAACTTGATACTTTCAAAAAAACTGTATGTAAATATTTATTTCAAATACAACTATTGATGTTTTTGAATAATTTTACAATTGAAGAAATTCGTAAATAAATGTAATAGAATAGAACATTTTTTTGAGTATCTTATAATTTTTAGAGTGAATCAGAATATTCTTTAGGGTCAGGGAAAAAGTGAAAATCAGTCAGGAAAAAGTCTGGAAATCAGGGAAAAACAATTTTTTTAGCAACCCTGGACCGAGAGTGTCACGTGACAACCTTTGACCAAAATCTTATTTCTGTTTTATAGATTCGATTGAAATTAGTTACTTGAGGGTTTTGGGGTTACTAATTATGAGCGTTCCAATGCAACAACTCGTTCGACGCTCGAAAATTTTTCGAGTGTCGAACGAGTTGTTGCATTGATTGGAGCGCTCAATTACTAATCCGGTGTTAGTTTTTCAAAATTTTAAATGGTTGAAGTAGTAACATTAAAACAAATCTGTTTTATTTCGGAAATCTTAATTTTTTCTTGAAACACGTGGTCAATTTCTCCCCGTGCAGAAATTACCCTTTTTCCCTATATTAGAAATAGGGTTTTAGCAAAGGTTTAAATAGTTTTCCTAGTTTCTGATAAGGCCCACGCTTAAGCCTTATATTACATTTTTTTAGCCTGACACTTTAGGGGTTAAAAAATCAAGATTTGAAATGGGGTATATTTTGGTATTGGTGGAGGAGATGTGGTTGTATTCTCGTTCCTGGATTAACCGCCTGGAGTCGACACGATCGTCGTTGGCTCTCACTACATTGCCTTTCCCTTCGAGCTGGATAGCCGGTGATTGCGCGTCAGGCTGGTTGTCTTCTATATCTTTTGAAACAGCTCTCCAGTCTGCAACGAGTGTTCGGCGGGCTTGGACGAGGGGTCCTGGTGAGGTTCCTATGGCCAAGGACCTTTTCCACTTGGCCAGACAAGAATAGAAAAAAATACCCCAAATGACATGTCAATTGTATGACAGTGTGAAAACGAAGAACGTGATCGCGCAACAATAGCAAAAAAAAAACAACGAGGTGGTGAAAAGGCGTCGTTGCCGAGAGAACGCCTACGCTGGCGGGAAATCGATAAACGACGTTTCCAAGCAAAGTGCGAGCAGACCGGAAGAGAATAGGGTTAGGGGGAGAAAAGGAAGGTCTCTGCGTCGGTGGTGCGTTATCGTTTTTTTCCTTTCTCTCTCTCTCTCTCCTTTTTTTTTTAGTCATGGTCGAGCGCAGAGTTGGCAGTAGTTTGACATCCCCTGCCATGTTGATCTATCCACCCGGTGATACCGCTCTGCTATCACCCACCACCACCACCATCTAGCCAGGTTCCCAGCCAAGTACTAACAGAGCTCTCCTACCATTCCATACCAACGACCCCGAATCATTGGTTGTCGCGTGCCAGTTTTCACCTGCGAGCCAGTCCGCTTCCACGCGAGTTTCTAGACGAGCCGCAACTCTCTTTCACGTCCTTCCGTTCTCTCTTACCACATATACAACACACAAGTGAGACTCTAAAGTGAGCGAAGAGTGAACGTCGCTTCAGACTGTCAGTCTCATCTGACAGGTGTCCGTTTCACGATCTTTGTTATAGTGCTACAATTTTTTTTAGCCTCTGCAACTTTTCCATATACATCTTTTCCAAGAGAGAGAAAAAAGTGGATTTAAGAGAAAAACAAAAGAAGAAAGAGGGTGAGAGAGTTGAGCATGCTGCTCATTTTCACACGACGATGGCAATTTTTAAATGGATTTATCAATCGCGATTATCAGTCTAGTATCATTATTGGATTTTAACTTGTGGAGTGGATGAGCAAAAGCGTGATCGCTCAAGTGGAAAAAAGGGGGATAAGCGAAAGGAAATGATGTGTGGACGAAACAAACGCGATGGGAATGTGAGAGTGTGGAAAATCTAGGGTCTTATGGTTCAGTGTCCTGCGGTGTGAAAAATATTCAAGTTTTTTGGTTACCTATATAGACATTTTTTCGGGTTATAGCCGGATAAAGTGAAAGTGATCAAGTTCGGGTTTTTCTTTCGTTTCTGTGAGTGTGTTTGAGAATCGTCCAAAAAAACTTACATTTGCTGATTGTTGACATTGTAAGAGAATTTCATATACAATCTTTTTTTCTTTCATATTTTGGACACTGCAGAAAGAAGTATCTTAAACTAAACTACAAGATTACTTGAAACATCTTATATTATTGTTTCTGACCTAAACAACTTAATATAAGATAATATTTTAAGTATAACTTTGTATAAGATACTTAATTTTTACAGTGGAGTAGCTCACTATTTTAGAGTATCTCACTATTTTAGACCTAGCACCTGCTTTTCAAGTGTTTTAGCTGCAAAAATTAAGTTTTTTAAAAGTGTCTACGAAGTTATTTAAAGCATATCTTATATGAAGTTGTTTAGGCCCGAAACATCTTGATAAAAGATGTTTTAAGTAACTTTGTAGTCACTTTTAAGGTACTTCTTTTTGCAGTCTTATAGCAATTCCATCATCTTTTACTTTCCTAAATTATGAACAGTAAAAAAGTCCTAATTTAAGTCAGAAAGAAAGTCTTAGTACAAGATGCAACATTTTTAAATGACGCTGAAGTCCGGAAGGTTTATAAAAACGAAAACAAAGAACAAATGCGACTTTTTGTTTTAGTTTCCTTATGTTATTTTTTAGCACTTGTCTTTTAAATAATCCAGTTATTCAGTAATCATTTCTTAAAAGTTTACGAACTTGAAAATTAGAGATAAATTTAATTTGATTAACAATGGATTTTCGTTTTTTAAAACGTTGCGGACTTCAACCTCATATTTTTAAGGTAGCTAATTCTGAATTTACGCAATAGATTTTGTAGGATTTTGCATAGGCAGTGCTCAATTTGAGACAGATCTTAAAATAAGATTTGGTTACACTGTAAAAAGAAGGCATCTTATTTTAAGATACTATTTTAGTCACTTCTATAAGTCGTTTCGAAAAAGTTATCAAAAACATCTTTAAATGCATTCATGGAAAAAAGTATAAAGTAAGTTTTACTACTTTTATAGTAAAACATTTCTAGTTAATCATTTCTGGTATAAATTTCGGAGTAATAATTTTGCTATACGTTCGATAAGTAAATTTTACTACGTTCGAAGAAAATATTCATAAAAATTAGTAAAATTTACTTCCAAAGTAGTAAAAGTTACTTTATATTTTTCTCCGTGTTGGTTTCTAAGATGGAAGATGAAAACATAAGATATTTTAAATATCTTAAAAGTGACAACAATGTATTTTAAGATGTTCCTTTTTGCAGTGAATTTTCTAAATTGTATATAGGTAAATTTCTAAATTGTCAGTAAAGAGAAAGTTTTAATTTATGGCAGAAAGAAAGCCTTGATTTAAGATGTCAAATTTTTAAGACAAGAGCTGCATTTACGCAATGCCAATACAAAAAGAAGCTTCTTAAAATGCATTACAAACCATTTTTAAAACATTAGAAACATCTTATTTTTTCCATCTTCCACACGGAAAAAACAAAATCGAAAACCGTTTACATCTTAAGACCAAATTGATTAAAATGTAGTCTGTTTATAAGCTTAAAACTAAATTAAGTCAATTTTAGAACTTAAAATCATTCTCTCAATGCTAAAAATTAATCAAAAATGGATTTTAGTTGCATGTCGGCTGAAAGTAAGACTTATTTTTCACTGTACATCTTAATTTATGCATTTTAAGGTGCTTTTGATAAATTTTCCTAAACAACTTAAAAATGTGACTATCTTAAAATAAGATGCCTTATTCTTTTTACAGTGTTTTATTAAGTTCATTAACTAATTCCGAATAAAAAATTTCACAGTAAAAAGAGGTTCTTATTGTAAGGCAAAAAATAAGACTTAATTTAAGATGCAACATTTTTAAGACATGTGTTGACTTTATACGAAATAGATTCAGCACTATTATTATAGCAGTACTTTAAACTTAAACCTTAAAATATTTTTTTGTTGATTAACGTTCTCGACTTCAACTTCGTATTTTCTTTCTACTCTAACTAAATTGTATAGTTGATTCATGTCCCTAAAGTTCTGAACATTTAAAAGAACGAATTTCTTTGGTACTTTTTCTTGAAGTTTGTATTTTGGTACAAAGTTTTCTTAAAAGTATTAAATTGATATCAAAGTGTATTAAATTGATAACCAAAATTTAGATCAATTTTATAATTTGATCCACATTTTTGGTAAAAGTTTTTTTTTAAAGAAAGGGGTTTTTTTTAAAGAGTTTGGGTATTTGGAAATGTTTTATCAAATACGGTCGCGAATGTAATTTACAGTTCCAAAGGTATTGATCATTTGCCAAATTTGTGGCTAGTCAATTATCATTATATACACTTCGGAACATTTAAGTGCAAAGTGATTAGATATTCGTAAAGTTATCTATAAATTTATATCGACAAATTAAATTTATGAATATTTATCTTATTTAGATCGATAACAGGTTGACATACACTAAATACAAATATATAATGAATATTCCAACTATAATTCAGATCGATAACTAAATGACAAATTGTCAATGAATTTACATATTTTATAACATTAGAAATAGTATTAAAATATGTGTAGAATTAATTACAATCAAGTGATAAACTTATTAGTCCGCTTACTTAATAGTCATCATAGTGAATTATAATGATAAACTTTCTAATACAGAATTTAATGAAAAATATAGTCCAATAATATGTTAATTTTTCACTTTTTAGTTTGGAAATATAGTTTCTTATTGCATAATAATACGCTTCTGGGAAAATTTTTATTAGCTTTTCTTTTGGAAATAAACTTATTAATTAGCTTTCAAGGATAAATATAGTTTTTATTGTTTATTTCGAAAGTGCGAGATATTCATTTCGTGTCTCATTTGAAACTTGTAAATTTTTTGTCAACTTGTATATATACCAGGCGTTGCTTTAGTAATTTAGTTTAATGATATCGTTCTCGAGTTTTAAAGTTAACTTAACTAACTAATTGTGACTTCTGATTAAACGCGAGTCCAGGTTTATTGTTCTTGTTTACACTCTACTGATTCAAATAAATTGTAGAAGTCTCGTAAATACTTTAAATGTGCACAAAAACCATTGTTTGAATACAGTAATTTTATTTTCTCTTTTCTCAAATGATATCTTTTAATGTTTTATGACAATATTTTTATTTGTTATAAATAAATAAATAAATAAATTTGCTGTTATGATTTAAGTCAACTTGATTTAAGTCATGATATAAATATATGAAGCTGATGATTTTAAAAACGAAAAAAATTTATTTTATTTTAGTTTCAAATTCATGTTATTTTCATGTTACCTTTTTAAAGCAACAATTATTAAGTAATAATTTAATTGACAAAAAATTGTAAGTTTTATTCAAGTGCAACTTTTAAATGTTTAAATTGTTGGAAATTAAATTCTTAATCCTTCTACTGGTACACTTGTTTAAAGTTTTTAAATTTAAAAAATAAAAAAGTTATAAAAACTAATATATCTTATTAAAGATAAAGACTCTTAATTATAGTCATTTATTTTTTCAACATGTTCGGTTACATAGTTTCTTAAGAAAAATAAAAGTAGTTATTTTTTGTTGCTTCTATTATAAAATTAATTTTTTATTATCATTATACTATAACACGAAGCACCAGAAAAAATTTGATTTAAATAAAAAAAAATCCGATTTTTATGAAAAGCATGATTTTTAACAGATTTGATAAACAAAAATATTCAGGTCTTTTTTATTAGAGAATAATTAAAAAGAGCTTTTAACAAAATGCAAATATAGTAATAATAAGAATATATAATAATGATAATAATAATAATAAATAATAAGAACAAATAAATAATAAGAAATAAATAATAATAGCTAATGTATGCATACTTGAGCAATTTAAAAAAAATTTTTCTCAGTGGTTAATAATTATGAAAAATAACGATCAGTGACACATTAATCGTTTATTACTGTCAGGTTTCAGTTATTAAACACTTTAATTATATGATAATATTCTCGACTCTATGAAAAGACTTCCTGTAATCTTGCAAAACTCGTTAGTATCATGAACAAAGTTTGTCACGTACTTGAAAGTTTATCTATAGTTTGAAAATAGGGGAGGGAAAAATTAATACCTCGAATTTCATTGTGTACAGTGTTATCGACTATAGAATTTCTAATTTACGGCATCTTCAGATCGTATACTACTATGTAACTAAGCAGAAAATAGCGGGCTTTTTACTGAAAATTGGGATCTTCAGTCATATATTAAGAGACAGTTTAACTCATGTTGGAAAAAGAGAGAGAGAGAGAGAGAGAGAGAGCAAGTTTCTAAAAAGATTTCTTCGGAACATAAATCACTTTTTCATCTCATCTGTGAAAAATTGTCCATCGTTTTATATTCTAGTGGATATAATTTTTGTCTAAAGTCATCGAGTTTGAGAAATAACGCAAATATTTCGTTTAAACTTTCAGTAATGAAAATTTATAAAAAAAAATTTATTATTTATTATTATTTTATTTATTTATATTAATTTCGTGAATAATAATTGTAAAATAAAATTTGAAATAGAAATGTTATTATTGTTTTTTTTAATAATTGCAAAAGTATTTCGTGAGAAAAGCGGTACATTGCGCGATAATAATTGTCATCCGATGAAACGCATTTCCAGATTATTTACAAACTCCTTTTTTTCCACTTGTTCGCACGAACTTGTTGGATAAATAGTTCTTATTGTGAAATTAAATAGATTCTTTTACCCTGAAGGAATACTGTAATTGGTAGATCCACTTAATTTGCTCTCTTTTACGTTCATAAACGTCAAACAAGTCGCTGGCAGAGACAATTTGAAAAAAAAAGAAAAAAAGAAAAACAATAATTTCCAATCCAGAACTCGTGAAAGAATCCAGAAAGGATGAGAGCTATCTTTACTGTAAGAAACTTGTATTTAAACTTGCATTTAAAGCAGATATTGAAAACCTTGAATTCATATATAGGTTCATGTATGTATACGGATTATGAATAACATTCTGTTAATAATGACTTTTAAATTATTCTATAATAATTCAAATCGCAACCTACATATATAATATACAAGTTTTATTGTGTGGGTTTTTTTGATTTAAAATGTAGATTTTAGACAATTATCTTTTTTTTTTTGTAATTCATAATAGAAAGGTATTTATCGTGTCTAATATTTTTCAATTTAAAAAGCAAATAAGTTTCGAGTACAATGGAAATGGAATTATTTCCCAAACAATGAGTTGGCTGTTTTTTTGGTGAAAATATAAGAAGACTATTTTGAAACTTTATACTTTAAAGTACATATTTTGTAACAATGGAAAAAAATTGACAGTGTTTTATTATTATTATTATTATCATTATCATTATCATTATCATTACTATTATTATTGTTACAATTATTACTATTATTATTATTTTTTAAAAATGTGACTTTTTCGATTTTCCTTCCAAATATTGCATCAAATTACAATTTTTTTTTAAAGTGTATATAATTGATTTGAAATGTGAAAATAATTTTGAAAAAGTTAATGTAATAATATTCTTATAATATAAAACAATGATTTTATCACTCGGTCATCTTTAATTATTATAAAACATGAAGAAACCGATCACTCCGAGTCTTCGACTCGGAGCAATCGCTATCTTCATGTTTTATAAAAATATTCTTATAAGTTATTGAATTTAAACAAATTTGAATTTAATATTTTTGAAATTCTTAATTCCTATATGGAAAAATAATATTGATTAAATATTTATTAAAAAAAAAAGTTATTGATGTTTTCGAATAATTTTACAATTAAAGAAATTCGTAAATAAATGTAACAGAACATTTTTTTGAGTAAAATTTTTTACTTTATTTTCTAAAAATTTTGAAAGTTTCAATTTCATTTTCAATTAAAATTTGTAATTGACAAATAGAATAGAATATGTAATGTTTCTTTTCCAAAAGAAAAGAATGAGTTTTTGAACAATTTTGTTATTGAGAAATATAAATTATGCATAAAATATTTCCTATTTTTTAATTATAATTTTTTAACAATTAACAATTTTCTATTTTTTATAAATAAAAAGGAGAAAAATTTGCATAATTTAGATCAGTCAAACGAAATTTGTTATAGAAAAAAGCATATAATAAACAAAATTTATTTGTTAATCATAATTTTTTTATATTTTCTAATTTCAAATATTGCTTTATTATAAATCATGAAAAAATACCTGCATTTTTTCGATCTGTCTAACAATATTTTTTAAAGAAAAAAAAAACAAAAGCATACACAAAAACTAACTTCAAAGTTTAATAGTATAATTATAGTGAATAATTTAATAACAAATAAATAAGTACCTGAAAATTGTAGATAATAGGCAAATTTCTATTTTATTCATAAAGTTAAATTAATACATTATGCAATAGAATAAGTTAATATGTTAATAGAATAAGTAATGTTCATATAATAAGTAATATTTCTTTCCATAACTACTTAAATATTATGAAAAATTCGTCTTCCTTTTTATGTTCAGATCAATTCTTTCAATTGAAAGATAATATAATAAAAATTTTCTATGGTGTTTAGGGGGAATGATATTTGCTATTTTACAGGATAAAGTACTGCCTATAATTCTCCCATGCATCTTCTGCTTCTGCAATTAGGGTAGTTTTTAGGTCAAGGGGAGGAATAGGGGAATGTTGCAGGGATATGTTTTCGATTTTTTTTAGGTCAAATATTTATCGATTTTATATTCACTGTTGTTATCTCTAATATTTTTCTCTTCTTCTTATTTATAAAATGAAAGAAAACATATCTGATGTTGTTTATTATTATTATTCTCTAATCGTGAATTTTTTATTCTCGAAAAAGTGTTAGTTCCACAGTTAGGATTTTTGTTTCAATCGTAGATTTACCTAAAGTTCCTAGAGTTCTGAAAGTACAAATCATCATTTAAGATCATGATATTAAGACAATTAAAAAAAATTAAAAAAGTAAAATTTAAGTTCTTATGTTATGCAATAATTTCTAAAAATATTTGTAATAACAAATATTTCGTTCAATGAACGTTAAAAACTTGTGGTTTGTGTATTTGATGGAACTTTGAAAATTTGAATTATAGTGAAAATTAATATACAAAAAGTAGTAAAAGTTTGTATTACTTTTTAGTAATTTTCCAAAACTAAAAGTTTAGTTGAGAGTATAAATAATAATGTTGAATAAAATTGCTGCAAAATAACATGAATCTGAAGCGAAAAGAAAATAAATCGCTGCACTACTTTTTCGTTTTTAAAACATTGCGGACTTTAGCTCCATAACATTTTGGTATTTTCCTCCCGTTTTTGAAATTAAACGTCAAATTTCTGATACATTATTTAGAGCATGGAATGTAAATTTTGAAAATGAGAAAACAAACCAGAAAATAGCGTAAAGGGAAGTGATAACTGACACAGAAAATTAAACTTTTTTTTAGCGATGTTTGCGAACCTCCTTTTTTTTGTTTTTCAAGCCTAAAACTTCATTTCCAAAATTGGTTTAACTTTTTTTTTGAATCTCACCCTCCCTTTTGATGAAACTTCCCTCATGGGAACGAAATGTTTGAGAACTACTCTGTTGCAAAACACTGGGCAACGATGTGTGACAGAGGGGTTCGTTCATTAGCATTTTTTGTTCTTTTAAAGGAAGACTAATCAAAAAAAGGGTCGGTGCATATATGCATAAAGTTACCCGCACAGTAGGCTATATAGGAAAAAATATTGAATGACAATTTTGATATTGAAAAAAAGAAAGAAAGCTAGAGAGAGATACACACAATAACAAGTAAGAAAATCGATAACAGTCTGATCGTTCCATAATCATAATAATTCCCTGTCTCATTGCCCCCAGGTTGTAGCAGGATGCTCAACGCTATGGTGACTTAGCAACGCCCGTCAGCGACCCCAAACCTCGAGGGCAATCAACAATCCGATCACACTTTTCATCCCGCGTAACGATGAAGTGAATTTAAAGAACCAAGGTCATCATCATCATCATCATCATAATCATCATGAAAGACCACGGGAGCGAGAACGCGACAGAGGTGCCCGTCAGGGCACTCAAGTCCCTACTGAAGAAACCTGGTCAGTCGAAGGCCAAGGGCCATAAAAACCGTGTGGTAATCAACGAGAAACTGAACGAGTTTTTCGCTGCGGATTATATTATCCTGATTAAGGAGGAATGCTGCACGGACTACGAGGAGGAGTGCGATTGTTGTTGTCAAGAGCATGAAATGATTAGACTTGGAAATTGTAAAGAGTGCAGGGCTGAGCTTAATCTTCATTTTGGTGGTGACGGAAGATTTGGAGATGGTTGCGAGGATGATGTACAAGTTCAAAGGGAACAAGTGTTTGGTAGTGAGGAGTCACTTGGCGAAGAGGAGGAGGAGGAAAATGATGATGACGAGGAGGATGTGGAGGAGGAGGAGGAGAATGAAGAGGGCGAGGAAGATGAACCTGAGGTGATCAGAGAAGTGACATTAGATGAAAAGAGAAACCTCGTCGTCGCCGCTCCCCAACGGAGTCAACACCAACAACGGGAGACACTGAGCCCACCCGAGGGTTACAAGGACTTGTGCGTGGAAAACGAGATGGGGAAGGAGTCTGAACATCGACTTGAGTCAGTGTGCGCCGAGTGCAACTACTACCAAAGGGCGACAGGTGAGTCACGAAGTCTCTTATTTCTCTCTGTGCTTGTTTGTGTCCGGCTTTATTTTACAACACTCGCGTACGGGGAGCGTACGTTTGTCTGCGGACGGACGAGACGAGACTTTGCCTCTCTTGGTCAAGGACCCCGCACCCAAAGACCTGCTCCGATCTCTTCAACCGTTCTAGAAATCTTATTTAGCTCACTCTCTCTGACAGTAACGAAGCTCATTCTGTAAATTGAATACCGTAATTATTTCTGCTCTGGGTCAAAAAAACAGAGGAGCTACTGTTTCAGAAATTTTGTTTCGGTTTAGAAATAGTGGGATAATTCGGTATTGTTTTTTTTTATTTCGTTATTTAGCGCATTGTCGTTTATGATATACACAGTTTGTTTTAGAGAAAACTATTTTTTGTGAAATAATCGGTCATGCATTTGACACCTGGGGGTTGTCCATAAATTACGTAAGACATTTTTTGGGTAAAAATTTGACCACCCCCCCCTCCCCCTGGTAAGATATTTTACATATATTAGCGCCATTTTTCCTATTGTTCGTAAGATCTTGCTGACCCCCCCCCCTCCCCCCTAAATGTCTTACGTAATTTATGGACGGCCCCCTGGGAGTCGGTTCCTATTGTCTTCCATTAAATTGAATTTTAAAAAAGTTGTGTTTACAACTTCGATTTTTGAAAAATTTTAATAATTCAAATTTTTCTGAAACTAGATAAATTGTTAAATATATATTTAATTATTTATTAAAAGTAATGGAATTATAGAAGAATTTTAGTTTAAAGCATTAAAAAAATTGAACTTTGGAAAAGTTATAAATTATTGCAGAAAATCAATTATTTTCAAAAGTAATAAAATTCTTCGCAGAAATTCAATTATGTTCAAAAATTTTTTTAATTTATCGTCAAAATTTCAATTATCTTTATAAATATTAAAATTCTTCTCCAAAATTCAATTATTTTAAAAAATTTTTAATAAAACTTTTGGCAAAATTTCAATTATTTTCAAAAAATTTGGTCAATTTAATGATTTTTCAATATCTAGTATTTTGATAAAATTTTCCAAAAGAATTCAATTATTTTTAAAAATTTTAATAAAATTCTACTTAAACATTTAATTATTCTCATAAAGAATAAAAAATTTCACAGATATTCAGTTATTTACACATTTTTTATAAATTTATTCGCAATAATTCAATTACTTTCATAAATAATATAAAAATTTTTAGAGGGATTAAATTATTTTTATAAATAATAAAATTCTTTTTATGAATTCAATTATTTTCAATACAATTTCAATAAAATTAAATAATCAAATTTTTAATCAAAATTATTAAGATTATCAATTATGTTAAAGAAATTAAAGAAATCTTTTGAAAAATATTCAATTATTGTCAAAACCTGTAATAGTATCTATTCTTCATAAAATTTAATTACTTTCAAAATTGTCAATTAAAATGATTACAAAATTTTTAGGTATTAATTACAAAAAATTATAAAGAAATTCTTCAAAAGAATATAGTCAGGAATTTATTAAAAATTATTATAATTCTTTGCAAGAATTCAATTATTTTCAAATTTTCTAGTAAAATTCTTTGCAAGAATGATTAATTATTAATTGTTTTTAAAAAATTCAAAGAAATTCTTCAAAAGATTTAAATTAGGATTTTCAAAACTTTTCATAAAATTCTTCGCAAGAATTTAATTATTTTCATAAATAATAATATTCTTCGAAGAAATTTAATTATTTACAATTGTTATTATTATTAACAATTTACAATAATTACAATTATTCTTATTTTTTATAAATTGCTTCGCAATAATTAAATTATTTTCATAAATAACAAACTTTTTTACAAGAATAATTCAATTATTTTCATAAATAATAAAATTCTTTTTAGAAATTCAATTATTTTCTTAAATAATAAAACTCATCGCAGAATTTCAATTATTTTTAATACAATTTTAATCAAATTCCTCGAAAAATGTAATTTTTCTTGAAAATTTTATTCAAATTAGTCGAAAGAATTCAATTATTTAAAAATTTGTTTATAAAATTCTTTATGATAATTCAATTTTGATAACCATTCAATAAAATATTTATTTTTGTTTTTAAATAATTGAATTCTTGTAGATTTTTGTAATAAAAATTGATTTAAAAATGAATTTCAGTTAAAATTTTAGATTATAATTAAATATTAAAAGCATTATAGCGTGAGTTTTTAGAAATAATTGAATTTTTTTAAAAATATTTTACAGTTTTTATTTTCTATAATATATATTTAATTGAAGAATTTTCGAATAATCGAAATTTTTGGTAAAATTGAATTGCAAACAAACGTTGAAAATTCTCAAGGAACTTTTTTCAAAAATTATTAAAAATAATTAAATTTAAGAAGAATTTTAGTTAAAAATTCTAGAAAGTAATAACTGTGTTGAAATGATGAAAATAACTTTGAAGAAGTTACAGTCAATAAAGTTTGAATTTGAAATTTTGGAAAATCTTAACTCCTATGGAAAAATAATAATGATTAAATATTCATTTTGAAAAAAACTATTGATGTTTTAGAATAATTTTGTACAATTAAAGAAATTGACAATTATTACATTTGATTATCTAATTGATAAAATATCTAATTTTAACAGAACGAAAATTTAAACATTTAAAAATCGTCAAAAGCTATTTGAAATCTAAACGAAATGAAAATATATTTCTCTCTAATAGAAAGATTCAAACATTGTGGAAATGCAAACATTATGGATCAGAAAAAGCAATAAGTGAATAAAATCGGAAGTGAATTTAATATTAGAATTTAGAAATCGGGTCAACTAAAATAATCGTACAGCAGAGTAGATAAAATATCCGACTATAGACTCGAAATTAAAGAAATTCGTTTTTCCCTCCTATTAATTGAGTTTGCAGTTGAACAATTTAGTTGTTAAATTAAAGACAATTACGTGTTTTTTTTTTCTTTTTTTGTTAAGTACATTCATTTCACGGTGAAAGAGAGATAAATACCCTCACAAAATTCATTAAAATGTCCTTTTTCTTTCATTACACGTTTCAACACTCTAGCTTCGGTTTTTTTTTATTTCGCCATCGGCAAAAATACTGCGATGGATTCTTTATACATATATTTTAGATACTAGATTTTTAGATCTAGTCAAACTATTTTAATCATCTTTTTGAATAATTTTTTAGGCTTCTGTATACCCTATTGTTTTTCACATGACATTTAAAATTCACAAAAAAAAATCTCTCTCAAGGACTCTTAAAAGACTCCTTAGGATACATAACTGGGACACGAATCAATAATAAATTTCCTGTCTCATCTTTATCAGTCTATTTTTATCCTCTTATTATTCATCTTGAAATAACGTAAATGATGATGCATGTAAGAAATATTACAATTAAGATTTTTTCTAATTAGACTTCTAATTAAAAATGCTTTTTAATTTAAAATTTTAAAGTAAAAACAGAGTTTCTTTTGGTTTAAATACCAAACTGAAAAGTTACCGAATTTTTAATTAGGAGGGAATTTTAATTAAAAATTTAGTATTTTGTTTGCGGTTTTGAAATTAGTAGTTTAAGTATTAAAATAATAAATGAAATGGAAATCGATGATTATGAATTAGTATTTTCTTTGTTATACCTTGAAAGAATCGGCTCTCTGTTTAATTTGATTCAAGCTCTTTTGTATTTAATTTCCCTGGGTGTAAGTCGAGTGGCGTAGACTCGCTTTTACTTTATAGTATCTTATTAAATTTTTGTTTCTAGAAATAAATCTTCTTCTCTTGAAGTCTTAGGGGCTAATTTGAAATGTAAGTGGATTAGGTACGCGAAAGACATTCTCATTCATTAACAGTTGTATTGAATTTTATTCGGAAGGTTTTTTTTTAGAAAATGGTAATAAATTGAGTATGGATCACATATTTGTTGCCGGAAGTTGAAAGAACGCAATTCGAGAAGTGGTATTTTCATTGAAGCAAACACTCTCGTTTCTCGTGCAGAGTGAAGAAGAATTGTTGTGTGTATGTATACAAAAGACTATTCTTGTTCACTCTCACCGTCTTTCTTGGTAAGTTTTTTTCTTTTCTCTTTTTTTTTTTTTTGTTGGTCAAGGATCTCGCAAGTGTCATCGAAGCCCTACCATTCTTGTTTCAACCGCAGACCTCTTCTTCCGTTCTTACTATCGCCTTCCTCTTAGTTTTAAAAACTTTTTTTTCCCCTTTTTTTTCTTTATATACATTTCCTTTTAGTCTACTTTCATTATTATCTTTGTATCGTTTCTATTATGCCACTGGTCATCATCGGATAATTTCCTTCCGGAAGTTTCTTGTCTGGTTTTTTTTTCATTATTATAAATTTAGGGTCGCAGTTGATTTAGAATTAAAACAAAATAATAATGCTGATCTATAGATGATAGTCTTTGTAGGATATTGGTGTTTCTTTAGGTATACACATTCTTTTTGTACCGAAAATGTTTAATGAGCCAGTTTACTTCAAGCCAGATTTCTCACTTCCGTTTGGCTTTTATGCTCACCCTAATATAGGGTCCAACTTCCACTCTCAACGTCCTGTTTCGTGGTTTGAACTGAAGTTATACTTGTGGAACGAAATTTCCGGAAATTAATGAAAATTCAAAATTATTTCGAGTTAAATTTACATATATAAAGTTCGTTTGCAACGAGTTTATGCTATTGTGTAAATAATTGAAATATTTTCAAATGTTCACGATGAAAATAAAGTTTTAAAGAACTTGGAGCTTTAGCATCTTTCTTTTCATAAACCTGAAGTCCGCAATGTTTCTGAAAACGAAATGAATTTAACTTGAAAATAAACTGTCTTTTAATTTTTCGTTTTTAAAATCGTTGCTGACTTCAGCCTCATTTTTTTCAAACTCAACGAATTTTCAAGGTTGTTACAGGTCAGGGAAGTCATAGAAAGTAAAATTGGTCAGGAAAATCAGGGAAAAGTCTTTTGAGTATCTATAATAATTTTTAGA